AAATGGCAATAATGCCGATAGTCTGTATTTTAAACTGTTGCTATTCTCAAGAAATTAGCAAAGTCTCCCAAGACTGAACAGTTCCAATAAATGACAGTAATTTTGAACTGGTTGATTTAATGAAAAAACTTACAAGCGCCAACAAAATAGAAATCATCGTACTCTGCTGTGATTACTCGGCCCTCTTCATCGTGTTTCTCCACACCTGAAAGGAAAAATGGTCCAAAGCTGACAATAATTAACTAACTAGGGCAAGTGGTGCAAACAAAGAACACTTAAATAGACATCCAGGAATCTGATTTTAATAAATGTTGACAAACTAACATTAACAGAGAACGTATACAATTAGACCACTCGCTTTTTATCTTCTTACCTATTCCATACTTAACACTGATAGGCTCCTTCTTCGTGTACAGCCCTGTTCCAGAATAACCCTTCTTGGATGTAGCGCCAAGCCAATATGTATGATAACCTTCTACCTTGGCACTTGAAGGCACAGATTCACTGTCAACCTTAGTTTCCATGACAAAAAAGATGTCTGGATCCTCTTTCTTGATGTATGACATGCCATCTTTCTGCAAGTGACAAAAGAAAAATATCACACACAAAAATAGAACATCTCTTTTTCTCCCTCTCGTTAATTGGTCATTCAAATATGAGATTATGGTTTGTAAACATGTTCTTGAGTTAACTCTGCTGGATTTGCTCTCTGAATTTTTGAGATGGCTGGCAATGAATCTCTTTGTTTTTTATAAACTTGACAAGATTGTAAGAAAAATCATACAAAGTACCTTAATCCATGCTTGTAAGCCAGCAATGTTCCAGGATGCAATCTTCAAATTGGCCTCACTGATTTTAAAGAGTATCAAAGGAAAGGAAGAAAAATAAACACATATTGACGGAAGACGGATGATGACTCGGTGTGAAATGAGTCATAATGAAAGACAAAGAGTCCCAAAATAAAAAGGTTCTATACAATAAAAACTTGCAAAAAAAAGAAAAAGTCTTACTTTTCCTCCACTGATTTTTTGTCTGTTGTGTAGGTTTCAGGAACATTCAAAGCAGCAATAGCAGCTTCATTGGCACCATTCTTGTCAACCTATAAATTGGAAACAGACATTGTGCGAACACAAAACCTCAATTCATACACCCAGTTACCTTCGAGCTCAGACATTAGATGGATGGGTGCACTAAAAAATTGCAGTTCAAGAGAGGTGTAGTTCATCCTCTCAAAATTTATTGAATTTTACAAGTATTTATTTTGCTGTTTGCACTTTAAACCAACCTTCTGTTTCTTTGTTGGTTTTTCATCTGTGGTTTCAGCCTGCAAAAAATCAAATAAGAATAAAGACAAAGAAACCTTAAAAGAAAAACAGGAGAAGAGAAATTATACGAAAATGACTACTGCCTTTCAATTTGTCAAAATGTTTAAAAAACAAGTGCATGTGCACATTTATAAATCAAACTGAACAGACCTGCAATAACAAACAATAGAGGGGAAATTGACAAACCTTTGGTTCTGCTTTCTTTGAAGATTGTTCAGATTTGGTGTCACTCTGTATGGGGGAAACAAACACAACAGATGTTCTGAATCATCTTGTCTTCTGAGGTTTTCCAGGCTTGAATACGGACTCCGTTGTGTTAAACTTAGATAGTATATTCAATTCCATCTGCTACTCACTCTACCATCTAACCGTGGAAATATGAAACATCTAAGTTTGCAAAACTGGAAATGGGTAGGCCTAGGCCTCTTCACTTAAAATTGCACGAGCATCATGAAATTGAAACACACTACCTAGCATAGCTAACCTTTCTTTTCGGCATTGTGTTCTTAGACTTAATTTGCTTTCCACACAGTCCCGTCCCGTGACGTTTACTAGAGTCTGCGGAACCTTGACGAATGCTTTCGGTTTTAAACTGACGGTTTTCCAGCCAAGTTGAAGTTTTCACACTAACGAGTTGTAACTTGCTCCACGACAGTTGTTTCCGTTGTCCAACATGTGAGTTACAGCGACCTCTGTCGTTTGTTTTTCTCCATCTAAGAAAAGATGACTGCAGGAGGTCAATTTCTTTGTTGCAAACAAGCAACCGTGACATGCGCCTAACAAAAATCATGGCATAGTAAAAGCATTGTTCCTGCCAGATGATATTAGTACCACGAAAATAATCATTATTTGGATGGTCCAGTGGGGAAAAGATTAACACTCATAACAGTAAAAGATTTCTAGACTCCATATGGTGATTGAACACGTTTTTTTACGGTTGGCTGATGTAACCAGACTATACTTGCTCTAGTAAAACCTAAAGATGCATTGTCACTTCACCCATTTGACACTTCGCCCATTATGCCCACACACATACATGTACACGTCCACAAGTAGCCTACACGGGCCGCAGAGGTTTAATTGACACGTAAAAAAAAACCCACTGTCCACGGGCGAATTGTAAATGAGGCAATCGGCCGAGTACGTGACAGTTAAGCGATATCGCCTGAGGGCGCTATATTTTAAATGGCCGCATTCATGTTGCCTGGATTTTGTAAATAAAGGTAGTCCTTCAGCATGTTCGGTTCATAATTAGGTCTCCTATTCAATAATTCTTGAGGATTGCAAGTATGGTAAGCTTGAGGATTGTATATTTGGGGACCCTATCACTATAATACTAAGAAGGGAGACGTAGGCCAACGTTTCAACTTTTGGATTCACCTTGGCTTGGTCATGTGATTCTCGCGGTCGGAGGTTGTTCCATTTATTGCACTTGCGGCGCGGCTGGACAGTCCTCCATTCGTTTTTGATATAGGGATTTGCATGTCTTCCTTATTCTGAAACGTTTTCGGTATCGTAAGGAAGATATTTACAGTGCATAAACAGTGAAATTTGGGGCATATTTGATGGCCGAGCGGAATTCAGATTTTCCCCTACTATACCCATTGAGTTTCAAGTGTGCAAGCCTTAGCGCAAATACTGCACGGGTGATTTAGCACAATGGTAGAAAGGCGTCGTGGGAAGGAAAAAGGGGCAGCGTTTGCTCCGAGTAAGGCTTATGGAATAGCCACCAACTGACAAATCAGAGAGAAGAATCAAGACTCAGTGATGCCACAGACACACATGACAAAAAATGGGGGTTCTTTTATACATGTTATACAAGAATAGTGATGTTTGTATGTGGAACTCTTCCCGGGAACTCTTTCCTATGAGCCGTTGTCATTATAACTCTTTCAGGGGAATGCTGACTCCATACTTCCTCCAGAAAAAATTGCTGAACTAGAAAAGAGAACACATTGTAAGTATGTTTGTTATTATTGTTTTTATTTGTATTCTTTTATATCCTTGATTAATTTGTACACATTCATATAACCTGATTGTTACATTTGCACTATCGAAATAAATGTTAACTGAGTTTAATTGAATTGAGTTTGTCATTGTCTTATATTCATGGTATCTCCAACAGAGGTCAACAAGAAATAAATTTGTTCAGAAGACTGAGTTATAGAGCCTGTTTTGTGTTCGAGGTAAAGTTTACATGTTCAACTTCAAATTTCACTTGATTGTAATGTAAATTTTTGATTGATTTTCAATGTTCTTATTTTCTAGTTAAATCGAAAGAGATTGAGAAAGTGTTGTCATACTACGCACAGTATGATAGGTCACCAAATGGTCAAGATGGAATACCAATGGAGGATCTCTCAGATATTGCAGAGCTCTGTGGATGTCCTTTCTTTGAAAGACTTGCATATGCGTACTTAGAAAGGCCAGCTATGAACCTCAAGGCAGAACCCTTCCTTCAGATATTCTCCTTCTTGAGCTCACGTGCATCAGTAGAAGAAAAAAGCAAGGGTAAGCTGTTCATATATTGATTTCTCACCCCCCTTGACAATTCCCTCTGTCTACAAACTCTTCAACCACAGACCAACTATTTAAATAACCTAGAGTGTTTTGTCATGTTTATGCCAACTTTTTCAGCACTCTTTGATTGTCTGGACTGTAGTCATGATTGCAGCCTTGGATTTGATGAGCTATTTCGCTTCTACAAGTGTATCTTGAACCCTGCTGTAGATGATGATTACATTATTGATTTGGTGGTCCGCATCCTTGAGAGACCAGAAATAAAACAGGAGCATCGTGTGTCATTTGAAGAGTTCCAAAAGGTATTTTGTTGGATGGCATCTTTACCTTTCTCCATTAGACCCTCCCTAGATTTCAATAGGATACATACATTGTATGCTGGGTTGTACCCCTAGGTGGAAATAAGTACACCCCGTATCCCCCTCCCCCCGACAATGCCACTGTTGGAGAGGGTCAGAGGTTCGAATTTCACATAGACATTAGTCACTTCATAAAGAGATATTACTATTAATGGATACAATTTAGATCAAGGGCATATCTTGACACCCTGTTTGTGAGATTTAATCAAAGAAAGAAAAAATACGTACCAAAAAATCACAAATGAGTATGTTAAATAGACTCCCAGACCAAATCAACTCATTTTACTCACACAGCTTTTCTCTGCTTTTATTTTTTACAGCTGATATCGACAGAAGAAATCAAGGAGAAAATGACAGTGGACCTTCAGTTAGCAATATGATGTTCGAAAATTAAAACATTTTTGCTTTGAGTAGTTCAGTGCAATAAAGTCAACAGAAAAATTCACACTGACCAAATTATTAACCAGATTAACATATATTAGTGTTGTCAGCTGGATCAAATTATGGTTATTATTGTTTTCACTGAGGATTAAAAGTTTAGGTTCATTTTTCAGCTACGAAGAGGCCTTGCAAGGTACATTAAGTTTTCAGAGTGTTTCAGACATAATGTTAATGGTAACATTCAAAGCAGTTTTTCAAGAGAAACACATAAAACGGTTGAAACGTCTTTAATGTTGTAAAAATGTTAAACTGGTAGCAATCAAAATATTTCATAATAAATTGTATAAAATAACACGCAGCTGACATGTTTGTGGTTTTACAGGTATCCAGTGCTGTGCAAGTACCCATTAACAAACTAAAACTCGTTGATGAATGTAAGTGAAATGGACCGGGAGTAGTGAGTAAACTGAAAGCACAATGCGGTAATTAAAACTGCTTAAACATGTAACTGCAAGTGTAGTAAATTTCTTCAAATTCTTACAAATAAACTGAGTAATATGCAGAATGGAAAGTAGTGGAAAAACTTCGAGATTAGAACCCTAAAAATGTGTTCCTTTAAGAAATTACACCTGCTGTGGATATGCCGCACAGAAAGTATATCGTTGCTCAGCAAGACTGGTATTGAATGTCAGTGTTGCCAACTTTAAAATGCATTTAGACTGAGAACTACACATATGAATAAGGTATTCTAACAGGCTGAAATTTTTATACATGTATTTGTCAACGGAAAAAGAAATCCAATAAAACTGAGAAATTAGTTAAAATACCTCAGAAATTAAATTGGGAAATGAAATCTAAATCTATTCATATAAATTTAAATAAAAAAAGTAACCGATTTTTTTCTGTGCCACTTAGACGTGTTCTTTGGGTGCATGGCTTTGCAACACACCCAAGATTGAAAATGAGTTTTCATGATACAGTTTTCGTAATAATGGTTGATTTGCATGGTGCATCTAAAGAAGGAACACCTTAAGCCATTTGGATTCAATTACCCACAATATCTGTCAGTTTAAGCTACTTTATATGTCTGATTCTTCTACAACGATTGCGAGTAGATTTTTCCTCACACTTGGGATCTATATAGCCTACAGCACAGTGCATTTAAATTTGACGGAACGGGCGGCACGGTGGAACCCTGACCGTCCTTTTCTCAAATTTTACTTTTACTGTTGGAGCTTAAAGGAAACCTGTAGTAGAGTTGCAGCTCAAGTTGTTTTCACACACCTTGCTGTGTGTTACAGTACAAACAAAATCGAAATACTTCATTATATTAAGATTGACAAAGGTGGTGGTTTTTACACTCTTAGAAAATCCTCCCAGCAAAAAAAAAACATTTTAGAGGGTGTTATTTTTTCTTTTGTCACGCAATTTGCAAGGTACTTCGTGTCAAAAGAGCTTAAGAAATGAATGTGCCATTTGCAATTGCCCACGACAACGTTTTCAAGAAATATTGGCCATTAATATGGTCCAAACAAGCTACTCAACAATAAACAAATAGAAATTGAACTTACTCAAAGAAAATGTGGAGAAGTGTTAATATATGTTTGTACACAGAGCTATGTGGAGACACTTCTGCTCTGCCTTGGATGATCATCACACTTTAGCTCATGAAATTAAATGTGGAAATTTCATTAGCATAAAACCAAAATGTTGAAGCTTTTCCCTTTTATTGCTACAAAGGAGATGGAAAATTAAAAAGTTAACATTTCCAGAAATCTTTCCTATATGCATTGATAAAAAACAAAACTAAAACAAAAATATCTCCACTAAAGTACAGAGTTAATTAACAAAATCGTGCTGTTTCACCAAAGACTCAGTCCGAGTCTGAAAGCAAAGTTTTGCATTGAAAGTGGTCACAATTTAACACCCACATCCAACACACTTCCTGGAAGCAAATGTGTCTGTTGGATTTGCTACTGACAGTGCCAATTCTTTGAAAACGTTGTGACGAGAATGTATTTTAAAGCTAAATACTTCAACTTCCGCCTGTTATCCAGGACAGCTGGTGCACTATTAACCAGTCCACATAAGATGGTAGGTAAAGGTACGTTGGTACATTGTTAGAAGTCCTCCGCTGAAGACGTGTCTTTCATCAGAGCACGGCGAAGTTCATCGTTTTTAGCATCCAATTGGCGTTGGTACCACCGAATTGTATCTCTCTTGGATTTCTGAACATCTCCCTGCAAAAGACAAGTAAACATGTTGCCCGGTATGACGTAATAAAATCTGTACGTAATCACTGTACTTATCGAATACTTGCACACATGTAAAGAACCTGTCCATTTTGACATCTGGGCTGGCTGGTACTCACTGATGTACTCCAATTCGAATCAACCAATGTTCGATGGTTGGAAGGGAGGTCGAGATGTGAATCTTGATCTTGAATAAAACTGAAACATATTTATTTGCTATCTAAATTTAGCTGTCCTTTTATCATTGGTCGTTGTTACCGTTAGCGCCATGATCTAGATGGAATGGCGCTACAGAAATCCCGTACTATTATTGTTATTATTGTAATAAAATATTTACCTCTTTTGTTTTCACTTTCATATTTCTGGGAGAAGCTTGCGCCTTCTGTAGTTTGTCACGCAACGTTTGACATTCCTCCCGAAGCTTGTCAATCTCGGATAGCTCATGAGACAGTGAGGTCTTGGATTTTTCGGAGGGAACGTTCAAACTCGGATAAGCCTGGTGAAATCGTGGAGCTGCATCCTCACGAGAGTTTGTCCCCTTGATCTTAATATCATACGCAACTGGGCCATCCCAAGTGAATCCTAGATAGAACGTGACGGTCTCTTGGCTTGGCACTTGACGTTTATACGGTGCTGCCAATTTGATGTTGATTTTCCCCTTCTTTGAAAGGTGCACCAGGGATGTAGGATTCAGTAAAGTTCCTTCCAAGCGAGCTAACCGACCTCTTACAAGATCAGATGACCAAAATTCGCCGTCGCTGTCTGCTCTGTCGATTTTACCCGGAGTAGCGTGGAGCTCGTTTATATGGGCAAATACTTGCAGATCTGTACCTTGTCCCAAGAAGAAGTGTGTTCGCGCTTTTGTCTGAAATCGTAGGGGCCGCTTTTCCCGTGCCAAACGTCCACTGAAATTCTCACCACCTGAAAATCTATGTCTCAGTTCCTCAATATAATAGGACAATTCGCTTCTGTCTCGTCTCTCAGAGGTAACATCTGGTATTGGCCACAGAAACATCATCATGAAGAATGGTGGCCAGCAGTCTGTTTTACGATGATCTTTGGCATTCAACGGCCGAACAAACTGCTGATACACCTCATCAGCTGGCAATAATTGCTCCCCAGCTGAGGAGAGCGCCAAGTGTATGCAAACAAGACACTTCAAGTCGAAAAAGTTGTACTGATCTGAGTTCTCTAACAGCAGTTTGCAAGATTCTTTGAGCTTCTGCAATCCCTTATTTCGAGCAAGGTCAAAGATGTCACGAAAGCTGCCACAATTGGCTTGCTTGACTTGTCTACGTCGAAATTCGACAAGACTTTTGGGATCTCGATACCGGTTTTCCGGTATCGGTGTAGGTTCCCCATAGTACCTTTCATATATTCCGAAGTAATCTTTTAAGTAATCTTTCATCTCATCAAGTTTCTGTCGCATATTCACAATAGGGTCTTCCTTGCAAAATGTCGATGTGTCCTCAAGTAAATTCAGTACTGAGTCCACTCGGTTTTTCAGAGTCATGATACGGCTATGGCAGTAGTCACTTAGTTTGGGATAGCTTGGATCTGAGGGGCGGATTAACTGCAGAAGGTACTCTTGCAAATATTGATGTCCTCTTTTTGTTCTGAAGGGCTCTACACACGTGTAAATGACCTCCAGTAATCTGAAGGCAACATGAACTTCTTCATATAAACCTGTGTATTCGATTTCCCTTCCTTCTTTCGAAACATCATATGATTTGTGGAAAGCGTCCATGGCATGGTATGCAAGGGAAAGTAACTTCTTGCATTCTGTATCATCAACGACTTGCTGTTCTTCCATACGCTTCGACACTACGTCAAACATCTCTGTTTTATAAATTCTGCCCTTAGTATCCCAAAAGTAGCAGTTTTGGGGCTCAAGCTCCACTGCTTCACCAGCATAGACATGAGCCATTTCAATGCTGTTCTCTTTGAGACAAAGTCTTGCAAGTTGTTGTGCGACAAACGCATCCTTAAGCTTCTCAAATCCTATTTTGAGGATTTCAATGGCGTCTTGAGGTCCATGTTTCTCGAGAACATCTTGTATGATAACCGCATAATCCGTCTCGGTGTCATCACCGTATCGTATCTTTTTCCTTCGGACCAGGAGGTCATGAGTTGCTTTCACGAGGGTTTGCTTGGAATAGGACCACGATTTGAACAGTTCACAATTCAAAAACTCCCTTGCGACCTCTGCAAGGGACTGGTTTGTTTTCACCTTGATCTGCTCTAAAGCTTCTTTTGCTATGCTTTCATGGAAAATCCTCAATTTGTTGTTTTCTAAGACCACCATGATCTTGAACGAAGAAGATACTAAACCCTCCCAAGGTCTCGAATGTACGCGTTTTCTGCTACTCACTATCTCACTAGCCATCAGTGAGTCGCAACAAGATACAGGAATGACGGCCTCTGGTCTGTAGGAATTTAGAAATGCACAAAGCTTTATCAGCTTGAATTCGTTATCAGAGATACCACCAAGAATCTCCGACACAACGTGCCTTATATAGTCCTTGTCAAATTCTTTCATCATCACCATAAATGCGAGGAGATGTTCGGGTTTATATTCGGTAGATTGTAACTCTTTCTCTTTCAGTTGCAATTCGAGGTATTTTCGCTTTAGCCAATCCTTTTCCCTGGCGTCAAGCTTTTGAGTCAACGCGATGTAGAGCTCTTTCTTTTCAGCGTCTATTAACTTTTCTGGCTCTGCACAACGCTTACAGTGCAGGAGGACACAGACAGCTCCACCACTAAGCTGGATATCACTCGAACCCTCCTTCAACTCATCAATCAAGTCTAGGAGCTCGACGTCATCGAGGTCATCCACAAGTACACATACAGCAGGGATTTTCTGATTGCAGCCTTTTTCATAACCATGCCGCCTGACCTCCATAATCTGTTTTGCAGTGTTGTTGGTAACCTTGTTCACGACAATGCAACGGAAGTCTTGGCGGAGCTCCCACAATACATGGCGTGCTAACGTGCTACCCCCGGCACCTGGTTGATGAAGGAGTGTCACCGAAACAATTAAACTGTCCTCAGTATTTGAACTGTCAAGCGGTTTGCGGACCTTTTTTAGCACGTCTCCGAATCCCTTTCGCTTCAGCACGTGGCCGCAACCTTTGCGAAGCTCCATTTCTCTCTCACCCATGGCAAAATTCCACCAGTCCACTTTGGCACCGCGGTAAAAGTTCAGCTCCTTCTTTTCAGCAAACTGTTTGAAGCCCGGATTAGATTCGTTCATATCGGTGTTTTTGCACTCATTTTTACAAAGAACTGTTATGTCATTCCATTCGTTTTTTTGTTTCTCAGACAGGAAACACTTTTCTGGCATGCGCGATGGGAGTTCGTAAGCCTCGACCTTGCTCACACCACTCATTCGCATCATAATGCGGTTGATATCTTGCCATTCCAATCCCACCACACTCCTCGCATCGATTTCAACTTTGTTGAACCACCTTTCCATAATCTCTACAAACCTTGAGTAAACACCCAAATCTTCAGCTATACATGTGATATTTTGTAGGCCTTGGAAAGATGAAGACATTTTTCTGAAAATGTCACAGACTATTCCAAGATCCTGATCAGACAGTAGCAAGAACACAATAGCAGCACGTCCTTTTGGTATAACCGAAGGCTTAGAGAAAAAGGAGATTGATGCTTCTACATCTCGACTGCGTTCTTTGTTCCACTCCCGTAAATCCATTGGAGGGCTCTCAATGGTTGGGTTGTCCTCTCGACCGTTGGCAAAAAGCCAAAGTGTCTTTTCTGGAAATCCGATGCTGTTACGTAGTTCTTCCTCTGACTCAACATTTTTAAACAAGTTTGGTTCTTGCAAAGTGACCATTCTGTCATCGTGGTAGATCTTACATAGTCCATGCGAGAGAGACTGTGAATCGAAGTCCAAGACAGTTGTCCATTTGATGGACTTGATGAATCCAAATTGTTGCCGAATATTGCCAATTTTAGAACACTCAGACGGAAGAGATGGCGCTTTATTGGCAACCAGAATAGGATAATATGACTGATCAAGTTCTCCAGACCCATCACCCGTGAGTAACATACGAAGTATGGCCTCGTAATTCTGTGCATTTTGTGATAATTGACCGATAGATTCCGTCAAGTCAGAGGGTGTTTCATGTTCTGTTTGCAAAGATGTTGGAATTGCTGGCTGTTGGCTGAGTTGCGAGGATGGATGAGATTCTGCAGCGGTAGGGATTTTTGGACTCTCCTCACTTTTTGTGAATGATGGCGCCTCATTTGTGGGAGTACCTGGGGATATGTGGGTTGTTACTGCCTTGCCAAATGGGAGGCTTTCCTTTGACTGTGGAGAATATGTAGGCAATCTGGCATCAAAGTCACTTTCAGAGTCCCCTTCTTTAGTGGACAATGTGTATCGACTCGGTGTAATTCTGTCTTCACGTGGAACAATTATATCTGTCTCAGTGATTTCTTGGTTTCTTCTTTCTTCCTCATATCGTGTGCGTCTCTCCTCTTCATCTGCCAGTGCAACAGACATTTGATATTGAATAGTTGGTTCAGTCTTCGCCGTTTTCTTCTTCCTGACTGACTCTTCTTTCGGTCGAGACTTTGATGTCTTAGCACGAACCACAGGTTGGGATGTCTCTCCAGTGTTACGTATCGCCGACTCTTCACCAGCATCTGGTACCTGTTTACAGATATCGTGGGTTGCAGCTGTCGAAGCCACCCCATTTGACGAAGGGATCGAGTCTAACAACTTATCTCTGCAATAAATGATTAGTCTTATGACCCCTGGTTTTAAATCAAAGTCTTCGATCAAATTCTGTTTGTCGTATATTTTCAAAATATTTCCGTCTACGCCTCCCTCACACAGCTTGTCTGCAACAGAACCTTTTACGCCAATACCAAGAAGCCATCGTTTCACATGCTCCTCAGTCCAATCTGACATATTTACAGGCAATTCTTGTTGGTCGGCAGGACCTGTGGTAAGACAAAAACATAAAGATCACACTTCTCATTTTTTCGTCTCGTTTTTCTTAAAATTACGCAGAATTTTATTGGTCGACAGAATGGATTTACATTGGTATCTGGTTCGGTCTCTTTAAAGATAAATAAATTATTCAAGCCCTTAAAACGTCGTTCGAAGTGACAAGAAAATGATGTTGGCCCCACTCATGAGCGTTGCCAGGATATTTTCTGGTGGCAAAAGTACACTTTTCCGAAACGCTCTTGGAGGGCAAAGTACTCGTCATTTCTTTGGATTTCTTTGTTCTTCGGTTTGTTGTTGTTGTTGTTGTTATTGTAGTTATTGTTGTGGTGCTGAAACCTGGCCTGCGGGAATTTATTGATATTAGTATAGACACCCTTTGTATAAAATTCTGACCAACCATTATCGCAAAAAGATCAAATTCAAAAGTGGAGTCTCATAAAATGTTTGAATTTTGTTGGAAATACACAGAAAAGAAATTATTGTGACTGTTGAATCATCAAAGACCTGTGTTGGTCCGAAATCCAACGTGTACTTGGGTATCTATGGAGTGGCTATGCTCTATTTCACACGCTCTGAAGTAACCTTGTTCCCGCTGCGCCATTTTTGTCTCCACCCGCAGGGATCATAAACTTTATTATTACGATCTCTTTGGTCTCCACCAACCTGTTAGAAACGTACGTGCTGCAAACGGGACGAGGCTGGTATTACTCAAGTTCCTGACGTCAAGTGCTTTTACCACAAATGAACTTACATAAGGCCAGTGCCGAACTAGGAGATACGGTCAAACAAACATAATTACCACCATTATTTTCTAATTAGTTTTGCATTTTACCTTTTTGCGATTCTTTAAAGAATCTGCATCCATCCCTGTAGTCACTCTCGTGCATTGTCACCTTGATGGCCATGTTGCTCTTGTCTTCCGTTGTAAGTTCATCAGTAATGAGAATTTCAGTGAGCCTGTTGGCTAGCTCACCAGTGGTGTACATGTTCCATAGCTTCTCTAGACCTTCCTGACTTTTGACGTGCAAGATAAATTCCACAGACCCAAGGTTTACTTTCATCAGCTCTGAATCACATTCACGAAAAACGTTTGTCAACAGCGTCAACATATGGGTCTTGCCATGTTGTAATACTTCACGTTTTATCATTTGATAAACGTTTTCGTTGCCCCCTTCGTCAGCTTTTCCGTTTGCCAGTACGTCGATTTTTGTTGACATCTTTTCTGTAATATTAAATTAAATTTGTTAATTTAGATCGAACGAGATGACGTTCAACCCGCGCATAAGAGCTTCGGAGAGTGTACAGTACAAATGCCCGTATCTGTGGGGACATGCAGGATGTGATAACAGAAATTAGCCATGCCAGAATCAAAACAAACATGACATCAATCAAGATCATGATAGCTCAGTCAAGATGAAATTGAAGTGGATACGCTGTCAGAAGTAATTTACCAAAGGGGTTTTATAGGGTTGTTTTTCGAATTGGTAAAAATTTCTTGCAGCATTTAACTGAAAATTATCGACACATTCTAACCACTACTGGGTAAATATCAGTCATGTTCGACAACAATTTACCCATTTTTTCAGTTCAGAGTATACAAAATGTGTAAACTGTCAATAGTTCTAAAAGTAGTTCTACAGTACATACCGAAGTAAAATGATGAAGCATTTGCATTGCTGATTATGATGGCGTTATTTGCAGTCTGCTGTCGGATTTGAATGTTTCCTTGCTCAAGCCTTCGTTGATCAGCGCCGAGTGCACCCGATGGAGAGGATATCGGGGATTCTGGTGAGCTCTCTTCAGCCGCTGGGACGTCCTGTGGTGTTAGGTTTCGTTCAGGTTCCTGTCGTTTTGCTGTGGAAGAAAGAAAGAGTGAAGAAAAGAAAGGAGTATTTGGTCTGCACTCATAGGCATCTAGCTATCCCCAAACAGTGCACCAATTTTCGAGTAAATCTGGAAAATAAACTGCCGTGTATATGAAACCACTTTCTCTCGCATAGAAAATTTTTTTTTCTACATTCTTATTTCATGAATATAGCGTGCCCTGTGTCTGTATCTTGTTCAGTCTGTTCCCAGTTTATGCTCCATGCATTAAAAATAACGGTCATTTAAAATAGAAAATATCAATCCGTGTGTCACACTTAGCCAAAAACTTGGACAAAAATACTGCATGCTTCACGCAACAATTCGTTGATGTGTCAAGTTCTTGTATCTACATGTATTATTACTTCCTCTTTTAATCAACAAATAGGCCTTTTAAACACGAATTTGGTAAAATGTTACCTGATTTTTTTTACGTCTTTTTCCACCCATTAATCCGGGCGAGAGACGCATTTCTATGGTGGCATCATTCTTGATACTATGATCAGCTATGGACAGGACATCACTGAGCTGTATAACAACATTGTAGAAACTTATGAAAACAAATAAATTTTGGTCTGTCTTTTACAGAATAAACGTAAAGAACAGTTTATGTTGTCATACCGAATGACATACACCTATATCTTATATGGTACCCTTTTAAACTCTATCATCCAGTTTTCAGCCTACTGTATTTTAGGCCCCCATTCCAAGGGAAAAAAGAACCGTCCTCAAAATTGTCTGGAACTCCCACTAACAAAAATTGAATTGTTAAAACCTGCGCCATTCAAGTGAAAGTAAGGCATGAAACCTAAAATGGTCTTGCACCACCCCAATTTAATGCTTTGTGTGATTTTAAATACGATAAAAAATGGCTTCCCTGTAAATTAAGGTCTGTCGGGCAATATTGTCTGGGACCTTCGAAAAAACACCCGAAATACTTTTCAGCCCTTCGTTACAAACTAAATCGATTATTTTGATCAGAAAACATTCTTTGAGGAGTGCGGTTTGTATGGTACTAATTGAGAGAACGACATTAAAACAACAGAATGTTCGAATGCAAAGACAGAGCACTGGGAACTATTCATTGTAAACCTTAGTGTATGTCTGTTTTCTTTATCAACCCACATTATCTATTTCTCATTCACCTCCAAACCTTGTCTGGTGAATAAATGTTGCTTCTCAGAATCGACACCAAGTCTCTCTTGTAGCAATCTCTTCAGATCCGCGACTGAGGTTGACGCACTCAGTTGCATACAAATAGTTGACGTTACAGGAGTAGAGATGAAGATCTGGATTTTACATGCTTTGGTGCTCTGGTTGGAACTAGGAAAATGTTTTCATTAAAATCAATTAAAATTATTCTTTGTCCTTTCTCAAAACATTTTATATTCACAGCATGCGCACGTGTTTCTAGAGCTTTCAGAAAAAAGTCAAACTTGTGCGTAAGGGATTCGAATTCAGACCTACAATTTAAGAGCCCACAATATTATGCTAGTGATAATATAAAAATTGAATTTGCATCTTTCCCTAATAATCAATCTATATTAAAGTAAATTTAATTGCTTAGCATGTATTACGCACCTGCGTTGAGACGTTTCTGCTTTTTGTGCCTTCTGGACAAGAGTCGATGTTGAAACGTTAGCCTCTGGTGAAACATCTTCACAGGGATGTTTAGTCCAAAGTATGGAAAGAAAAGCTAGTTTCTTGGACTTCCGGACCGTTTTCGTTCTGGTGACCACCTTGGCCTGCGAGTGGTCATAGGTGACCCGGGCGACTCTCACCGCATCCTCCCAATCTGCATATGTCTTCAGAGCCATTGTGTGACGAATTCTAAAGGGATAAAGAAGATAACACAACTCTGATTGTAGATTTTTGGGGGGCAGCTGTAGTAGATACTCAAAAGTCTGCCTTACAAAAGTATGGTGCAATGATATCCTCTTTTTTGTCAAACGGTTGACTAAGCAATAATTCCTGACTCTAAGAATTAAGTTTTATTAGGACATGAGATGAGATATGTGACGTATTTTTCCACTATAAAATGTATGGATTCACACGATATGGCGGGAAAATTTGGTTCAAATTCAAACTTACTTTAAAAAAAATTTATCTGGCGGATTCCCAGTTTTTGAGTGCAATCGATTATGAAAGTCTTCTAGTTTATATGAATCTAGATGTTATAACCAGGAAAACTCATTTTTAATAGAGATTGATAAACTTTAGCCTATTATCCACACTTTCCTGGACAACCTGGCGCTCTTAAGTCTTTTAAGGAAGACTCACTTCAGCGCATTAGTTTTTTCTGTTCAAACTGTGAGCCCTGAATTTACTCACTGAGAAAATTTCGGAGACAGGGGTTGATGCTTGTTTATTTCATGCACACAAGCAATGAATGAGCAAAGAAGAAAAAAAATAGTTTAGCAAAATCTACAAATGTGCATGACTTTTTGTGTCCAAACAAACGCAAAATTGAGGCATTTTTTGGAAATTTTGCTGATGAGTATGCACATACTCATTAGCAAAAAACCGAAATGCAGTAAAATACCCTTTAAAATGGTGAAACAAGAGTAAGGGTAACTCACACACAAAGATGCATTTTAAAAGTCACAAACAAACTGATTGCAACTACGGTCAGTGGTTAGACTCTTAAGTGTAAGAAAATTGGTGCATATTCCTTTTAGAGACTCTAGCATTTCTTATGCATCCCCAATTAATCCATCGGATCTACTGCTGATTTTTCTTTTGATCGGCATAAACAGGAGGGAGTAACTTCACGCACATGAACTGTCATGTTGACATTTTAGGTTCAATAAAATAACCCCTGAACAATTGCACAGATAGCACTTTGGACCACGTGAAGAGCATTTTAAAGCCCGAAGTCTGGTTGATGATCTGTCTCAAAACACAATCGTCAAAACGTTTACATGACTCTTAAATTAATGACAAAATGCGTTATAATAGATCATGTTGTGGGGACTTACTGAAATTTAAACTAAATCTAACATTTTATCCAAAACAAAATATTCAAATTTTGTCGACGCTTACATTATGCTACAAATATATTTATTCATTCAACTGAAGGTACTTTGCTAAATTTTTAATTAACTCGAACACTGAGGCAAGTTTTTTTTTACGTAGCTTTGATATTGAAAACAAAACACTCAAAATAAAAAAACACAAGCAGATCTAGTGCATTGAAACACGATTATGGGGTTTTTTGAGGAAGTGAATTTTGAACTGAATATTGAAATGACAATCTGCTGATTGTGCTTTAAGAATTGGACTGTTAAAACACAAATAATTATTTTGCTTTTGTTTGTCTGTTTCCTTTTCATTGGTGCGGCGTTTTGCTTTAAATAGGGCTGACATTTATTGGACTGCTCGTATATTTCCGGGCTATGATCACTTGTATTTTTAACCTAAACTGGGTGAATTTCCGCAGTGCAGCATTAAATTGTTCCTTGGAGTTAAATAATAAGCGCTTCAATAGTTAGTATACCCTTAAAATTGTGAAGGATCAATTTGAAAATATAAAGGAGCCTAATTCTGATCTCATAATCGCGTTGCCAAGTACATGTTTGTATTTGTGCGCACTGCGCTGGCGATTGCGTGCTGTGGGGAAGCACCTAGTTGATGAAATTGTACTCAGCCTTTGTTGGAGAGGGTTTAAATTTTTGACCCCATGCTGAAGTATGACATTCAGAGTAGCGTAGCCTAGGCGGGGGGGGGGGGTTATCCGAAGCAGGTTATGAGATCTTTTGGAGAACACCTTCGCTCACACCCTAAGTCTGTCTCGACCACTGACCGTCGAACAACAGTCGCAATGGCAATCACGTCAAAGGATACGGTTTCGGCGTCGAAGGCAATATTACAATGGAAGTATGGCTAAATTGCGTTTCCATCCGTTATTATGATAGCCCCAGGAAGTTGAAAAATATTTTGTGAATGGAACTCGGAGCTAACTTATGGAAAGGGGAAAGACTTCTTTAATCTCTATGCCTTGCAAACTGATTCACTTAGACAGATGTGGCATCTCGACAAACCAATTAATTTACCCCAATGTTTATCAAGTTGCAATGAGGTGCCTGTATGTTATACAAAATGTCAACGATTTGGAAAAACTGCAATGGTATTTTGAGCGTTTAATAACTATTTCGCAGTAATTTAGCAAGACTTACCAAAGCTGCTGCTTTAACTGGAGAAAAAATGGCAAACCCCTGAAAAGATTTCGTTGCTAGCCCCGTGGCCTACATGAAATCCAGGAAGTACATGTAAGCCGGGGCGGGTCAACGCGTCAAATGATTATTGGACAGTATAAGCTTAGGGGTGTGAATGAAGATGATTGGCTCACTATGTCATGTGACACGTTAAAACTGGTTCCATTTCTCTGCTGGACTGGTCCCAGTCGCTAAGTTTGGAGGACGTCCGTAGCATGTAACTCTTATTTACGAAAGCCCAATCGTGCCACAGACAAAAATCAGTGGAAAACTAATTCGGAAAACGAATTAGTAATTCGTAATAACGAATTAGATACTCACTGATTTTTTTTTTTTGGGGGGGGAGCGGTGGCACGATTAGGCTTTCGTACTTATGCTACGTCGTTTAGATTAAATTTCTGTCTGTCAAGATGCAGGTGCAGACGAATTTTGAGCGTTTTTCTGGTAATTCCAGAATTTGGGTATATTTTCTTTCGTGTCCTTATCACATCTGACTTATGACTTTGCAAGTTCAAAACACATTTTTCTAATTTCCAAGAGTGATGAACTAATGCAATTTAACTGCTTAACAAAAAGTAATAGTTTGAAATCAATTCCCGTGATATTTCCATGTCAAATAACAAAGGCTAGGCCGGGTGTAACAGGGACACAAAAATCACTTTTGGACCCCCGGCCTCCTTTCTGAAATTACCTGTATGCGTGTCTCGCGTCTCGTTCGGCAAATTTTTGCTTATCACTAATAATGGGAAAGCCACGTAATTTACGGTCCTACATTCAATGAAATTATTGTAATTTGAAGGCAAATCAGAGAAATGACATCAAACTACGAGGAATGATAAAAGTCATTTTACTCATTGATTTTCGAACGATTCTTCAAAATTTTCGCATTCTATTTAGTTTTGGCCCGGGACTGATTTATTCCTTCATTATGCTGGGTGACGATCGAGATGTATAGAGAACAAAAATTCTGTGAACGCTGTATAGTATGAGAACTTGGCCAACTTTCGTCCATAATCTGAGTGAGGAGTATGCACGAGTGAGCATTAGGCCCCCTACTAGTAAGCGCACGTTGTATACATTTTTTGCTCGAAAACAGTGAACTAATCCGATCAGGCGAATATAGAGACTGGTCGGGTGGAACTGGTGGTCGTTTTTTATCATTAAAAACCTGAAAACAAAGATAACAGTATACTTGAATGTAAACAAATCCAATCCGCTTAAAGGCTTATGCTAACCTTGATCAACTCATTACAAAACAGTTATTGCAAACGACGGAGAAAATGCAAATAAAAATAATGAACACACACAGCGAACCATGACCACTGACAGCTTCACTGTTCTAGTTATATAGCGCCCCCAATGACAGCAAGGAACCAGTTCGAAGCAAAGATTGTATAGCGCCGCACAGCGGCGCTATACAATCTTTGATTCGAAGTGTGCGCGTGCGTTGATTGATATGATGTGGGCCATCTCCATGCATCATGTACATATAAACTGACTAGGCTGTGAGATTACCAGCCGACCAAAATGGCAGCCTCCATGATAGTTGTATTTTTTCTTGTGGTTATCCTTCAGTTGTCCGGACATTTTATTCCTTTCGTCGTAAAACAAGTAAGTAAGCTATTTGAAGGGAAATAGACATAATTTCTTGACAAACAATTTAATATTTGGAACCCAGTTTATTGACACTGGATGTGTGAATATGCATGATAGGCCTAGGCCTACCGCAATGACTAGCCTACTCCGAGTACTCGCCTATTCACAATCATGGCTAAGCCAATTGAGCAAGCAAGGAAGGTTCATGTATCATTGCTCTGTATTAATGCTTGTAGTCCTACGACTCTCCATGTGTTCGTAACGCCGTAGGTGTTTGAATGCAGCCCAATTATGCCAAGCAGATGAAATCTTGGTTTCATTGCACAAGTATCCTACGTATACCATGCCCAGGTACTACATACTTCCAGAACTGTAAGGTGTATTCCAACCTCACAGATAGCAACATAATTAGTCACTCATATCCACAATGTTGCTACATCGTTTTGCGTGAAATTTCTAGGACTGTTTGAGCTAGGCAAGCAGTCGTGGTCACGGGTGCGGGAAAGGAAAATTCGCCATTTTGAAATGGTATAATGTTAATGACCCCCCCATCCCATACAAAGTTGTATCGAGGGAAACCTCATGAAATTATAGGGAAAAATCGGTGACACAGCATAGGAATTTCATGCCAATCAAGTAGCACCATGTAAAAAATGACTACATGTATATTGCTGTTTGTAAGGTTTGTATAAATGTACAGTGCATG